CGGACCCAGGGCTTAGGGTTTAGGGTTTAGGGTTTAGGGTTTAGGGTTTAGGGTTTGGGCTTAGGAAGCCGTGGACTTCGTGCGGGCCCACCTCGCGGCTTCTCGCAAAGAAAAAGCTGAAGCCCTCCGCGACGCTTGCGAAGCTCTTTGCGATGCTTGTCTTTCCGAAGACCCCATTAAGTCCGAAGGTCCAAAACCCTAAACCCTAAACCCTAAACCCTAAACCCTAAACCCTAAACCCTAAACCGGCCCTAAGCCCGCCTGCGCCCGCTGGCTGCTTCTCTCCTGCGCCCGCCGCCACTCCCCAGCTGCTGCTGCTGCTGCCACTCCCGCTGCTGCTGCTGCCACTCCCGCTGCTGCTGCTGCTGCTACCAGTCTCGCTGCTGCTGCTGCCACTCCCGCTGCTGCTGCTGCTGCTGCAGCCACCAGTCTCTTGGCTGCTGCAGCTGCTGCCCTCCCGCCGCAGCAGCTGCTGCAGCGCCCCCGCCGCAGCGTCTGCTGCACCCCCGCTCCTGCCGCCGCTGCCGCCGCTGCTGCTGCTGCTGCTGCACCCCCGCTGCTGCTGCTGCTGCTGCTGCTGCTGCTGCTGCTGCAGGCCACGGCTGCGACAACATGACGGTGGTGTTGGTGGGTTTGAGTGCGGAGTTGAAGGGCAAAGTCTCGCGCGCAGCAAAAGCCAAAATTTGTCTTTACGGGGGGGCCCCCGACCTTTACTTGGGGCAGGACGAGGCCGACTACGAGGCCCTCGACGACGACGACTAGCTAGCTAGCTAGCTAGCTGGCTAGCTGGTGGCTAGCTAGCTAGCTAGCTAGCTGGCTAGCTGCTGGCTAGCTGCTGGCTGGGGGGCTGGGGGGCTGGGGGGCTGGCTAGCTAGCTGGCTAGCTGGCTAGCTAGCTGGCTAGCTGGCTAGCTGGCTGGGTCTGTAGCTAGCTAGCTAGGCGGCTAGCTGGCTAGCTGGCTAGCTAGCTGCGCCCGGAGAGCGACAGCCAGCTAGCTAGAGCTTGCAAAGGTAGCCCCCAGCTAGCTCTGGCTAGCTAGCTGCAGCTGGCTAGCTAGCTGCAGCTGGCTAGCTAGCTGCAGCTGGCTAGCTAGCTGCAGGGAACTCGAAGCCCCCCGCAGTTAGCCACAGAGGAGCCGAGCCTTCTTGCAACTAGCTGCAGCATCTTCAGCAGCAGCAGCAGCAGCAACAGCAGCAGCAGCAACAGCAGCAGCAGCAGCAGCAGCAGCAGCGAGAAAACTGGAGAAAATAACAAATAGTAAATAAACAAAAAAATAAGCAAATAATAAGCAAACAAATAATAAATAAATGATTAGATAATAATTAATAATTAAATAAATAATAAAATTAATAATTAAATAAATAATAAATAATAAATAAATGATAATAAATAAATAAATATTAAAATAAAAATAAGAATAACTGCAGCAGCTAATTCTGGGGCAAATCGAAGACAGTGGGAATTTATTTGTTTTAAAATTAAAAATTAAATTAAATTAAATTAAATTAAATTAAATTAAATTTCGAAAATTAAAATTAAAAGAGATTAAATTCGACAAATAAAAAGCAAAGAAAGAAAAACCGGAGTGTACAGACACCCCAGAAGGCCTGCAGCTATGCTGCAGCAGCTGCTGCTGCTGCAGCAGCAGCTGCAGCAGCAGCTGCAGCAGCAGCTGCAGCAGCAGCTGCAGCAGCAGCTGCAGCAGCAGCTGCTGCAGTTGCTGTATTGCAGCAGCTTTTTGCTGTGCAGCGTGTTGCAGCAGCTGCCGTTGCTGCAGCAGCAGCAGCAGCAGCAGCTGCTGCTGCTGCTGCTGCTGCTGAAGCGCTCTGCTAGTAAACCCGAGAGAGGTTCAAGCCCCACTGACAGCAGCAGCAGCAGAATTACCTGCTGCTGCAGCAGCAGCAGAATTACCTGCTGCAGCAGCAGCAGCAGCAGCAGCAGCAGCTTGCAGAGTCTCGCGGCCTAGCTCGTGCAGCAGCCTATCGCAGTGCAGCGCAGCGGGAATGTGGTAGGAGTGTGGGGCCACCGCTATCACCCGCTGCTCCTTGCTGCTGCTGCTGCTGCTGCTGCTGCTGCTGTTGCTGCTGCTGCTGCTGCTGCTGCTGTCTTCTGCGTCTTTTGCTGTTACTGGAGGCAGCAGAGAGGCGTCGATGGCTGGCGAGGCAGAAATGACGAAGACAACGGGGGGCACCTTCTGCTGCCGCCTTGCTGCTGCAGCTGCCTTGCTGCTGCTGCTGCTGCTGCTGCTGCTGCTTGCTGCTGCTGCTGCTGCTGCTTCGGATTTCAAAGCCTCCGGCAGCCCCTGCAAGAAGGGCCGTAGAGACACCGGAGGGGCGCGAGGGGACTCGGACAGGGCCACCCAGCTGTACGTACACCTCACACAAGCAACTGCAACGCGACTCCTGCTGCTGCTGCTGCTGCTGCTGCTGCTCGTGCTGCTGCTGCTGCTGCTGCTGCTGCTGCTGTGCTGCTGCGTGCGCGGGCCGTATAGGGACTCACC